ATTGTTTTTAAGCGGGAAAAAACTAGTGTCCTCGGTTGAATTCCATGATTGACATTATGTCGTATCGTATTCTACCGCCAAGTCTGATTTGGTTTAATTCCTCGGCTTTGAGCAACACGAAATTTATCGAAACTTTGAAATATGGAATGTTGGAAGTGCAAGAACATTTGGAGACTTTTTGTGATAAGAAAGATCAAGCCGCTGTGGTATTTATTTGGTGTGATTTTTTAACGAGTGTCACACTTGATTTTTTCTAGTATTGTAACGCAGTTAAAACCACTCTGAAAGTGGAATATTTAAGCGGTCAACAACCCATTGAAGTTCATCATTATTTACTCGATTTGGAAAAATCACTCTACAAGCTTTATTTTCAATTGTTACTATTGATCGAAGCTTTGAATAAAATCATTGCAACGTTGCACAACACATGAAAATGGCTCAAGTATTTTTGTGCATTTTATTTGAGTTAAATTTGATTGAATTTTGTAATTGAAAGATGTTACTGTTGATATCATTTCGATTAAAAACGCCCTTTTGAGGTGCACCGAAGACAACCAATGAAGCCGACGGGGGTGTTTCGCCCCCGACTTGTTCCAAATTGATTGAAAGTGAAAAATTTTCAGCGGCTATTGCGTTCTATAAAGCGAATAAAGACGTATTACTGAAAGAAATTTCAGACGTTTACGATCCAACCAATGATGTGCATGCAATTTTGAGTCTATATTGCAAGAAAGTTATTCAGGATAAGCCAGGTTTGTGACATTTGTTTTAAACTGTTTTTCACTTGTTTTTGTAGAATGTTTTGTTATGACCAATCAGGAGAGCGATTTAGCTGATATTTTCGGACGGCTATTTCAAGTTTCAGCTGCTGTAGCAAAATTTAAGTTTCACTGTGATGTAAGAGTTTTTTTGATTGGTAAACCAAAGACTGAACGTTAATGTATGAAAAAAATGCAACACAAAGTATACTATCAATAATTCTAGTTCAGTAGTGGAATAGTTTAGTAATGTATCAAAACTAAAATTATCAATTTTGACTGTTTTAAGTATCGTATGAGTATAATTCGTTGTAGTAACAATTAAAATGCATTCAAAATGTTTTTTTTTTCAATTTGAACAATTTTCGTACTTTAAAGAATTCGGTAGAAACGTACTTCTGTAATTGTCGCGTGACATTTAACGAACATAATCTCAAATTCACAAACGTTTTAGAAAATAATTGTCAATTTTGAGTTTTTTACGTATCGTATAATTATAAATCGGTATAGTAAGAATTAAAATAATAAAAATGTTTTTTTTAACAATTTTCGTACAGGAAAGAATTCGGTTAAAACGTATTTCAGTATTTGTCATGCGACATTTCAAAATGTCAGTTGTCGAACATAACCTCAGATTCGCACACGTTTTAAAAATGAAATATTGGCTTTAAACACAAAAATGGACTTGTTTGTGATAAACCGTCACGGGGACCCCACCCCGGAGGTGACCCACGAGGAGGAAACGTCAGAACTCTCCACAGTCCTCAAACGCATCGAACGCAAGAAACAGCAACGTATCCGTCAAAGAGAGCGCGAACGTGAGAAACGTCGTGTCCCAGAACCCGTCGTGGAGGCCCCCCAACCCGTTCCAGAAGCCCCCATACCACCACCACCAGCAAAAGCCCCCACTTCTAATTTCACGATTCTTGCAGCCGAAACCACGGCCAAGAGACCGAAAACCGCACGTGTTCTACCCCAATGGCTCGCCAACCCCACACTAATCTCCTCCGACTTGCAAGAATTGACGTGGAAAGTCTCGAAACTCAAAGCTTTAGATAAGGAGGCTCAGAGAGCGGTTGCGGGCCAATGGGGTGAGGTATTTGTTTCCGGTGCAGGCGGAAGTGATCTCCTGGTTGCTACAAGTGCGTCAAAATGCCGATATCATGTTCCCGAGGGATGTGTGCATTTGTTTTACCAGTGGTGCAAACCTTGAAACAATTCACTTTGAGAAAAACCAGGGCTTTGGTGATTTTGCCCATTCAGGATCTCGCTGAGTAAGTGTTTAAAAGCTTCAAATTGTACACACAGGGGACCAAAATCGAAGTTGGCCTCATCTCAGGCAAACATTTGTTTAATTTTGAGCAAAAACAATTGGTTTATTTCAACTCCAACTTTGGTTTTGTTAGCAAAATTGATATTCTTGTGTGTACAGCTGGCCGGTTAGTGAATCACTTGAAATTAACTGAAGGTTTTGATTTAAAATCACTCGAATTTCAGATTATTGACGAAGCTGATCGAGTTTTGGAAAGTGTGCAAGATGATTGGTTGTACCACTTGGTGAGGCCCATTTGTGTACAAAATCGTCGGGTTATAAATTTGTGCATTTTGCGCGGGCTTAGGGCCCCTCAAAAGCTCCTCTTTTCGGCGACTTTCACTCAAGACCCGGAAAAAATCGAGAAATTATCACTTTTCCAGCCGAAACTTTTCATGGGAAACCCCGGTGAGTAAAAATCGGGGAAATACACAACACCGAGAGAGCTAACCTAACCGAAAAATACATTGTGTGTGCCAAAGACGTGAAACCGCTCGTTTTGTATGCTTTCCTCAAACGTGAAAACTTGACAAAGACTTTGATTTTCACCCATTCGGTTGAGAGTGCCCATCGACTGAAAATCCTCCTCAAATCGCTGTTCAAAAATCGAGGAAATCTCAAATTTGAAGGGGAAAAACCGCGATGAGTTTATTTCGAGTTTCACAAAAGGTGAAATTGATTTATTAATTTCTACTGATTTTCTAGCACGAGGGATCGACTTCCCGGGGGGTGAATTGTGTAGTGTCTTATTCAGCCCCCAAATATTTGAAAACTTTCATACATAGAGGGGAGAGGACAGCAAGGGCGGGTGAATCGGGGGTGGCTGTGACACTTTTACATGAGGAACAAATGCCAGCGTTTAAAGCCTTGTTGAAGAAGGAGATTGAGGAGGTTGAGGTCGGGGTGGAGGAGTTGGAGGGGATGAGTGAGAGGTATAAGAAGGCGTTGAGGAGGCTTAAGGAGGCGGTTAACAAAGAGGAGAAAGTGTGCATGGATAGTGTTTTGGCGAAGATAAAGGCCTTGAAGAAGTTAAAGAAGAAGATTAATACGATTAAATAGCAAATCTTGGTTTTGTAATAATAAAATGATTTCTTTATCAAAACCAATGTTTTAGTTTCTTACCTTATAGCACCCAAAGGAGGCTGCTAACATTTTTTTACTTTATATTTTAATGTGAGGTTAGGTTACTTGTTTAGTAATAAAGGGATGCCAACAAAACTGTCATTTCAACAAAGAATGTTTTTGGATAAATTATCACAATAATAATACTTGGTACGGTATTTTAAAGCATTTTCACATTATTTAACAATAAATGAATAAAACCAATTACTTTTATTACCAAATAAAACTAATAAATTGTGTATGGTTGGCAGTACTTTTTTTAATTTTGACGCGCAAATTAGTTTTTTCGAAAAAAACAGCTTTGAAAAAGATTAATTCGGTTAAATAGCAATTAATTTTTGTAATAATAAACTAATTACCCATTTTTGTATTTCAGTTATACCAATATGTAGTTTAACAAAAAATGCTTCTGACCTGACACTGGGTAGTTTTTGGTGTTGGGCCCAGAATAAGGGGGTTGCACGTCCAAGACAGTGGGTCTGTGCTTATTTTATTCCATAAATTTTGTATTGGAACGGAAGTGAGGTTATGAAACTTTGTTCGGAAATAAAAACATGACAACAAAATTGTAGTACGTTTTTTAATAAAATCACAATAAAATGCGCTTAGTTAATACGATATGTTGACTATTGACCGAAAATTTACAACTTTTTAGATGGTATGGAAGTGACCCAGGAGGCACCTTTAACAGCCCAGAATCGCGTTGAAGTGGCTTGGGAGGAGATCGAGGCTGGGTTGGACGCTGTGGGGCCCCGAACATTAGGCAAAATCGGTGTTGCTCGCTTCAAAGCCGAGAAAACCATGGCACTGGAGACTCTTGAATCCCTTCACATGTCACTCGAGACATGCCCCGGTGAGAAAGACACCGTGGCGGAGCCCCAAGGTCTCAAAATCCCTCTAATGCCCCATCAGAAACAAGCCCTGGCTTGGCTTCTATGTGGCGCGAGACACAGAAGCCATCAGGGGGGCTCCTAGCCGACGACATGGGACTTGGTAAAACTCTCACGATGATTTCCCTAGTGTTAAAATCAAAAGAACTAAATCTTGATACTAAAGACAAGGAAAATCATGGTGAGAAGGAACCAGGGGGCACTTTGGTGGTATGCCCCGCCAGTCTTATATACCAATGGTCGGAGGCGATTAAGAGGAGGACAAAAAGGGGGCTATTATCGGTGAAAGTTCATCATGGGACTAAACACGAAACTAAACCAAAAGGACTCGCTGAACATGATATTGTCATCACGAGTTACACCATAATTATGAATGAGAATAGCCGAGATGGGGCAGCTTTTGGGGTACACTGGCGTAGGATTATCCTCGACGAGGCCCATCAGATTCGTAATCACACATCGAAGACTTCCGAGGCGATTTGTCGGTTATCGGGGAAGTCCCGGTGGGCCTTAACTGGCACTCCTGTTGACAATAAAGAACTGGACATGTATGCAATTTTCAAGTTTTTGCGATGTTCCCCCTTTGATGATCTCCATGTTAGTTTTTTTTTTTGTTTTTGATTGTGGTAATAATTGGGGGTTTTATTGAAGATTAACGCGGTTAAATAGCAAATCTTGGTTTTGTAATAATAAAATGATTTCTTTATCAAAACCAATGTTTTAGTTTCTTACCTTATAGCACCCAAAAGAGGCTCAACATTTTTTTACTTTACATTTTAAAGTGAGGTTATGTTACTTGTTTAGTGATAAAGTGATGCCAACAAAATTGTCATTTCAACAAAGAAAAAGTTTTTTTAGATAATTTATCACAATAAGCATTTAGTTGGTACGGTATTTTGAAGCACTTTCACATTATTCAACCATAAATAAATAAAATCAATTACTTTCATTACCTAATAAAACTAATAAATTGTGTATGGGTGGCAGTACTTTTTTTTAATTTTGACGCGCAAATTAGTTTTTTCGAAAAAAAACAGCTTTGAAAAAGGTTAATTCGGTTAAATAGCAATTGATTTTTGTAATAATAAACTAATTACCCATTTTTGTGTTTCAGTTATACCAATATGTAGTTTAACAAAAATGCTTCTTACCTGACACTGAGTAGTTTTTGGTGTTGGCCCAGAAGGGGGTTGCAGGTCCAAGACAAGTGGGTCTGTGCTTATTTTATTCCATAAATTTTGTATTGGAACAGAAGTGAGGTTATGAAACTTTGTTCGGAAATAAAAACATGACAACAAAATTGTAGTACGTTTTTTGTCTTCCTCTGTCACGAAACCGACACAGAAAACAGTCGTGGGGCACCAGGATAGTACCAAGAACAGTTGAAAAAATCACATGGAAGCATTTCCCGGAGGATTTCGAACTGATTTTCCGGAATAAATTCCGGGTCAGGAATCGGGAACGCTCGCTTTGGATACTCACTGTTTGCTAAAATTTTCAATCAATTAAATTTCTAAAAATTGTCCCAACTCACTACTAAAAATGACTGTGATTAATTGATCTATATCATTCATGGGTTTATTCCGACACAAATTTCTAATATAATCGGGAAACATGATAAACCAATAACATTTTCGGGTTCATCGTAACTTTGCTCGGGTCTAAAACCAATGAATAAATTCCATTTCGGTACAAAACTCAACTTACCGATCCTGCGACTTAGAAAATTTTTTTTCATCTTTATCACTGTCTAAAACGGGACTGTTTTACCAAGTCGAAACATTCTGCACCTAAATAAAAAAATATATATAAAAAAATTTATAAATTTGTTGCATACCTTGATCCATATGTTACAAAATAAAATCACAACACAAAAAAGTTAAAAGAATAAAATTGACAACACTAGTAGGTACGAATTAAAAGAGTAACACTCACGAAATGGTCGAAATCGGACTCGACTCTGATAATCACATATTGTAAAAACGCCGATAAGGGGAGTAAAAATTTTAGATAAACGCGTTGAAGGCCTTTGAATTAAGAATTTTTGCAATTTGTGGGGAGAATAATAAAATTTTAGCACTAATAATTATCATCTCATTCGAGTTTTTGTTAAGTACTTGTATTTTTTTATTTCAGTTGATTTGGATTTCAGGTTCTTGTTTTTGTTATTTTTTTAATTTCAAATTCTAGAATTTTGGGGAATTATGTGATAGATTTTGAGACAATAATAAACGGAAAGAAGAGATAAAATTCAGCGTGTGCCAATAATTGTGACAAATTGTCCAAAAAGCAATTTGTGATATTTTCAAACGATTTGGCTCAATTTTTAGTTGGGAATTAACCTAAATCAATGTATTTCAACTAAAATACTGGCTTTAATAATAGTTTTCTTCCAAAATAAAGCAATTTGAGCTATTTTGAATTCAATTTTGCTCGATTTTAATACAGAAATAATTCGAAATTAATGTATTTTATAAATATAATTGCTTCAATCTTAATTTTAGGCTGAAATAAAGTAATTTGTAATATGTTCAATCGATTTGGCTCAATTTGAAGTTGGGAATCAACCTGAATCAAAGTATTTCAACCAAATACTGGCTTTAATAAGAGTTTTCTTCTAAAATAAAGCAATTTGAGCTATTTTCAATCCAAGTTTGCTCAATTTTAATACAGAAATAATTCGAAATTAATGTATTTTATTAATATAATTGCTTCAATCTTAATTTTAGGCTGAAATAAAGTAATTTGTGATATGTTCAATCGATTTGGCTCAATTTTAAGTTAGGAATTAACCTAAATCAAAGTATTTCAACCACATACTGGCTTTAATAAGAATTTTCTTCTAAAATAAAGCAATTTGAGTTATTTTTAATCCAATTTTGCTCGATTTTAATACAGAATTAATTCAAAACTAATGTATGTTATAAGTATAATTGCTTTAAACTTAATTTTAGGCCGAAATAAAGCAAATTGTGATATTTTCAATACAATTTTGCTCGATTTTAATTCAGAATTAATTCAAAATTAATGTTTTTTATTAAAATAATTGATTCAATTCTAATTTTAGGCTGAATTAAAGAAATTTGAGCTATTTTCAGTTCAATTTTGCTCGATTTTAATACAGAATTAATTCAAAACTAATGTATTTTATAAGTATAATTGCTTCAATCTTAATTTTATGCTGAAATAAAGCAATTTGTGATATTGTCAATCGATTTGGCTCAATTTGAAGTTGGGAATCAACCTGAATCAAAGTATTTCAACCAAATACTGGCTTTAAGAAGAGTTTTCTTCTAAAATAGAGCAATTTGTACTATTTTCAATATATTTATAAAATACATTAATTTTGAATTAATTCTATATTAAAATCGAGCAAAATTGAATTGAAAATAGCTCAAATTGCTTTGTTTCAGGCTAAAATTAGAATTGAAGCAATTACTTTAATAAAAAACATTAATTTTGAATTAATTCTGAATTAAAATCGAGCAAAATTGGATTAAAAACTGCTTAAATTTCTTTATTTTAGAAGAAAACTCTTATTGAAGTCAGTATTTTATTTGAAATACTTTGATTCAGGTTGATTCCCAACTTCAAATGGAGCCAAATCTATTGAAAATATCACAAATTGCTTTCTTTCATCCTAAAATTAAGATTGAAGCAATTATACTTATAAAATACATTAGTTTTGAATTAATTCTGTATTAAAATCGAGCAAAATTGTATTGAAAATAGCTCAAATTGTTTTGTTTCAGCCTAAAATTAGAATTGAAGCAATTACTTTAATAAAAAACATTAATGTTGAATTAATTCTGAATTAAAATCGAGCAAAATTGGATTAAAAACTGCTTAAATTGCTTTATTTTAGAAGAAAACTCTTATTGAAGTCAGTATTTGGTTGAAATACTTTGATTCAGGTTGATACCCAACTTAAAATTAAGCCAAATCGATTCAAAATATCACAAATTGCTTTTTTCAGCCTAAAATTGCGATTAAAGCAATTATGTTCATTAAATACATTAATTTCGAATTAATTCTGTATTGAAATTTAAAAAAATTGACCACATAAAACGGGGAGTTTTAATTTTTTAACTCACAGGCCTGTTAATTTTTCCTTGACTCATGCAAGGTTTGGAAAAAAAGCTCAATATCATTAAAGATGCAGGGAAGTGAAATGGTTTTGATACTAAGATAATTAACAAAATGGTTCAAAAAATTAAGTATCGAAAAATATTCAGTAATTCCACGACTTTTACAAACAAACCACAGAAAACGCAAATAAGTGAAGCCTTTAATGACATCTCTGTTAAAATGCTGAGGGCAATCAAACCTCGTCACACAGACGTGATGAAGAATGGGAGGATTTTTAAATATTTGCTATAGAATTAATTAAATTTTGAAATTTTTGTAATTAAGGTCTTGCATTGAATTTAAATCACAATTAGCGTTTGTCGCGTCCTTATTTCCTCATCATATTTTATAATTTGTATTTATATAGTTAATTTAAAAAGGACGCTGGCATTCGGCCCTAGTTTTGTTGTTGGGAAAAAACAAAAGTTTGTTTATGTTGAAAAAGGTTTCGTTTATGTTTGGTTTTTTTGTGCGAATTATTCATGTTTGTTGGAATCACTCGTCCTGAGGTTAGAAAGTGATAATTTTGGAAATTGCTCCGCAGAACCGCAGAATTAGTGAAGATTCCTATCATCCCAACCTCTTTCCCTTCCTTTCCTATTCTCCTACCTCATCCTTTGGATTCTACGTGGGAGCATTCAAAGGTAGGAATTTTCATTTACCTCTTCCCTATCGTTGTCTCCGGCGCGAAACATTAGTCCTTCGAGCTGGATAGTCTTTTAGTTCCAAAATATCACTTTCTGCGTTGTTAACATAGCCTCTCTCTTTTCCCCATTATAAATATAAACATAACCTTGCTTCTATCAAGTGGTGGCATTGGTAAAGTTGTTCAATATCGCTTTATTCGATTGCAATATTTTGAATTTTGCCAATAATTAATTTTCGCATGCTCGACGATGTCTCAGGCAAAATTTAAAAAACTTGTTGTGTTAAGCAAGGTCGCAGTAGACCGGTTGGCCGATTTAAAAGACATTACGGATCGGGTTGCAAGAAACTCAAAGCCCGATACAATTTCATAGAACGAATTTATTCAGATTTTTATCTCTATCATAATGAAGTTGTAAAAGAATTAGCTGGGCTCAACGAAGAAACCGAAGAGCATGATGCCATTCGTAAATCTTTTGATCGCGATTATTTTGGCATTCAAATTATTTACAATGAAATATTTCAAAATTCTGTTCAGACTCAAAATTTGAATTCGGATACGCCCTCACAATGATGTATATCGCAATTAAAGACCACGTTAAATTGCCTCCGATGGAATTGTATAAGTTTGACGGGAATATTAAATTATGGAGAACATTTATTGATATGTTTAATTATACCGAACATAATCAAAATGCGTTTACAAACGTTGAGAAATTTAGTTATCTCATCTCGACTCTCAGTAAAGAACCGCTCTCGATCGACTACACTCCATCGCAGTTAAGATCTTTGACTAACACATTCGATGAAAATCTGGCAGCTCTCAAAACTCTCAATTTTCCCGTTCATTTTATTTAGCATGATGTTAAAACGCATCCCCCTATCGCTAGTTACTCGATTTGAATTGTTGCAAACATACCCTGTATCATCGTGACCCCGCTGATATTCCCTCATATCAATCGCTGAATGAATTTGTCATTACACTTGCCAGGCCAAGGAAAATGTATCGCACGCTATAATAAAATCTCCTTACTCGAAACCGAATATAGTTTCATCCCCTAGACCAAAGTTTAAGTCTAATTTTCTCGTTAAATCAGACTCTTTGGCATGTCCACTCTATCCCGATTTGCAATACGGAATTTATTAATGTCCGATTTTCTTACAGAAGTCTCCTCAATCGCGCTTTGATCTCATTAAACAGTATAAATGGTGTATTAATTGCCTAGGCTCAAAACACAATTTGCGTAATTGTACGTCGCTTTGTCATGAATGTAGAAAAAAGCACCACTCATTACTACATTTCCCGGGTGACACAAAAGCTCAAACCTCGCCGTTCATGGAAATTAATAAACCTTCACCGCCTTCAACTTCTACCTCTACGCAGCAAGCAATTAGTTCATTTACAAATTTGCTACCTGCTAATACTCGTACGACAATTCTATTGTCAACCGCAGTCGTTAAGATTCTTAATAAAATGGATGCAGCACATAAAATTCGCGTCTTGTTAGACAGTGCTAGCCAGTCCAGTTTTATCACTGAAAAATGTGTCAATCGTCTTCGGCTTCTAAAACAAAGATTGTCCTTTACGATCAATGGTTTAGAAGATATGAGAACTCTCGCTAATAAAATGGTTACTTGTACTCTACCTACGCCCGGTACAACAAAACTCCCCACAGTGATGCTATAATAGTTCAGTAACGTTCCTAATGTTGCTCTACACACTTCGTCGTGGTCTTATATTGTCAATTTGAAACTGGCTAATGAACAATTTCACACTCCTGGAGAAATTGATATGTTATTGGGTGCCAACCTCTTTCTGCTTATTTTTGACTCTCAGTGTGGCACAAATGAACCAACCGCAATAAAAACAAAACTTGGATGGATTCTAATGGGGAACGTAGCAATCAAATCACCTCAAATCGACCAAAACATAAACTCGTTTCACTTGACAATGGAGCAAGCCGAATTAAATGAATCTTTTAAAAGATTTTGGGAAATGGAGGAACCTCCTAATAGTCATAATTCTTCTCAATCCTCAGAGGACACATTGGTGGAAGAAACGTTTGAATCAAAACATTATCGCGATAATTCTGGCCGCTTTGTAGTTCCTTTATTCTTCAAATCTAATGAAAATTCATTGACTTTTCCGCATTCATTTTCCATCACATTACGTCATTTTTTGTCATTGGAACACCGACTTATTCAAAATCATCACTGTACACTGAATACGTGACATTTATGCAAGACTGTCTTTCTTCCAGTCACATGCAAGCATCTACCTCGTCCTTATCTATCGGGTATTACATCCCACATCATTCTGTAATTCGAATGGATAGCCCAACAACAAAATTCCGGGTCGTCTTTGACGCTAGTAGTAAGTCTGCAAATGGAATTTCTCTCAACGACTCCCTGTTAGTTGGCCCTAAATTGCAAAGCGATCTCTTCCAAATCCTCGTCCGTTTCGTTTTCACTCACATGTAGGTACTGTACTCATTGATGACATTCGCC